AAAGTTATAATTATATTATACTACATGGATGATAAAATTTGTTTTTTTTCATAGATTTTAATTAAATTTATATGTGACTAAATATTTTACAATAAAAAATAAGATTAAAGAGTAATTAATAAAAAAAATCGCCGGGTGTGTAAATATATTTACTAATAAATCTGTATTCTATATAAATTATTCCATGTAATTGCTAATATATTATGTATAATTTAATGTTGACCTATTCGACGAAACTTCAGTTAAATATTAAATAGATGAATTATCATTTTATTACTCCAATATTAACACAAAGAACGACGATGCAAAAGGAATATTACAGCACTGCCATAATCATAATTTCGAAACATCGAGTATTATTATACCGTCCGTACTAATAAGTAAAATCCGTTATTTCGTTATTAATAAAAGAAAAAGACGCGAAATATATTTCAAAAATTTGTAGATATTAAATCTAGGTAATTGCTCGCACAGAGTTGTAAAAGAATGTCACAATCCGAGCATTGCCCATTGCTCGCGTAAATCAATAAATTATTGCAGGCTTAATAAAAAACCGATAATATAAAAAAAAAGTCCAACAATTTCAAAACATGTTAACCTACAATTTGTTGCAAAATTTGAAATCAATTTTTATCGAGTAAAAATATCAAAAAGCTATAAGTAATCAAATTAAAAGCTTTCAAATAGTTTTAAAATATCAATTCAGAGTTTGATAATATTCAGGTATTTGAAAATTTTAAAGTTCGAAAAGTGATGTAACTTTTATGTATAATTTAGTATTAGCCATTCGACGAAGCTTCAGTTAAATATTAAATAGATGAATTATCATTTCGTTATTTCAATATTAATACAAAAAGTGACGATGTATTTTTGTTTTCAAACTTAAACTTTAAACGTAAAAATTCGAACTCTTTATTATTAAATATTAAATACTATTCTTGGATCGTTCTTGGATCGTTCAAATAAATTTACATGGAAAGAATAAAATATTTGCATAATGTGGAACGGAAGTCTAAGACATAATTAAAAAGTACAGACATAGGAACAAAGCATAACAGATTTCAATCAGCAGCTGTGTATTCTGATGGATTGAAATCTATCATTCCCTGTTCCTATTTTCTGTGCTTTTCAATTATGTTTCAGGCTTCAAATTTTAATAATGCATACAGGAAATACAACTTTCGAACAGAAGCTGTTCGTAACTCTGTCAGAATGACAGCGTTATTGAGCGTTCAATAATTTTTGACATCGCGAAGAAATAACGGCCCGTAAATAGCGACTTACAGTGTGAATTGGCTGACCGGCTCACGTATCGCGACGAAAACACAATTTAGTCGGCGCCAGAAACTTTCAGCGGTCAGGAACGGGTTGTTATTCGACGTTTTGTCACGAAAAAAGGCAGTGGGGGGGGGAGGGAGGGTAGGTGGAGACGAAGCGGCGAACGAGCTGTTTTGCTACCAGGAAGAAAACAGGACGTATTGAAAGCGGAGTGAGTGGCGCCAAGTTGCTCCACAAATTTTCTCGAATGAAATTTCGTTCTCAAACTGTTCAAAACACGCGGAGAATCAAAGAATTGCACCGTTTGTTTCTCGCAATGATTCGATCTTACTGCGGTGAGAATTACGTAATCCCTTCAGCGTGTATGGCCGCAATGAATTTCGCTTTCGAAATAGCGTCGGAAACAAGGAGATAATAATTTCTCGCGAATCCAATTTCCGGGGTCAACCGACCAGAAGTGTCGAGATCGTGGCAAGAAATGGTGTTCTCTTGTCGTACGCGAAACTGGCGATTATAGCTTTTTATCTCGCAGTTACGTCGATTCAGCACCTCGTTGTGGTCGGACTCCGCGAGTACTTTTTTTCGCTTCACGTCCTTTCTCGCGCCTCGTATCTTCCGTCCGTGTCCGACAATGGCCTGTTTAAACGGCGCAACCGCAGACTCGAAACCTCTGTTTACATTGTGGTACAGGTGAGAACGCTTAACAATTAAATTCTAACAGTAACAAAGGTCGTGGAAAGTAAGTTCTACTGAGCGCGTTTTGAAAAAATGCATGAAAGATAATATTTTTCCTAATGCAAAAAGGATATAATCGTGTAATTGTTTTAATTAACTTTAAAAATTTTAGAACAGAAGAGAGGAGAACAAATATTCTATCTATTATTTTAAATTATTACTATTAAAATGTTATTTAACTATGTATTTGGGATAGCTTGTGTCATAAATAAAATTTTTAATAAACTGATCTTAACATTTTTACTTTTCCGCGTGTATATTAGCAAACATTTCACGTTGTAATAATAAAAATTACATTTCTGCACGTCTAATTGAATTTAATAATTGAATAGAGCAGAAAATTGAAGAAAGACTGGTCTGCTTTTCTTTGAATTACTTCGACTTTCCATCTTTTCGTTCTTTCTTTCTTTATGTACCTTTTATTAACGTTAAGGTATATGCTAACAAGCTAAAGATGAAAGCCTTAATTTTTATTTGCGACTGTAAAAACATCTGATGGATAATAAGGAGGCAAAAACATCTTTTGCCAATTATAGCATACAAACTGTATGACTTATATTATTCGCTGATGGAAAGCTTGCTGTAGATCCGACGATTAAGCCCTCAATTAAGCTAATGAAAAGACTTTCAAAATACTTCCTTAATATGGCATTTCGATCTCCCCGGAAAAAAACACGCAAATTAAACCAGTGCGGCCGAACTAGTTATCGAACCAAAGTTAAATAAACATTTTAATCCTATCGGGAACTTTTCGCGATTTTCAAAAGTGAATTATTGCTCAGTTGCTGGACACATTTACTGTACTAAAAAGTATTTATTAGTATTTATTCGTATAGATACAGAGGTAACAATCTATCTTGCATAATAAAATAAAATAAAATAAAATAATCATTGAAGATCACAAGATTAAATTTTTACGGAATATTTATAGAATACGATTATTATTGCAAGATTTTTCTTTTTTAAAATTTAGCTTTGACATTTTGTAATCTAATTACAGATTTAACAGACTCAATATAAAGCCAATATGAACTCAATATCTTACAGACTCTAATAAAAGAATGGTTTTGCTAGAATATTTAAAAATTCAAGTAGATACAGATCTGAAAATAATTTTATCGGTCTACCGAAATGATTATGTAGGGCGTTCGAATTGCATTCTTAGAATAGAAAAACTTTTTATAATATTACTCATCATGTTTGAGTTTTTTTACATAATTATTTTGACAGTCCATTAAATTATTTTCAGATCTGCATCTACCTGAATTGTATCAAAATTTAGATGCTTCTCAGCAAAATCATTTATTCTGTGTGTATCTATAATTCTATACAGATTATTATATTTAAAATAATTTATTACGCGATTACAATGTTTCTTTTTTTTATCAATTCCCATTTTCTATCGATTATTTGTATATTTTTTTTGATATTTTTCAAATTTAAATTTTACGATTAACGTCTCAAAAGAGGAGGAAATGCAGAAAATTCGTATAAATAGCTAGAATATATGGGTCCATTTCGCGCTGTGTGCCGTTGACATTTAACACGCGAATATCCTCGCGGATCTGGCTAGGATGAGCCCGTCAGTCGTAATATGACGTGTGTTCCTCGATGACGTTGATTTACGGCGTCTCTCAACAAAGTCGAAGAAGAGGTTGGCAATTGGGCCGACTCTGTTACGTGGACGGCTCGTAAATTCTCCGTACGAACGGTTTCTTCACCAATGAAAACGTGGGTGGCAACGAAAAAAGCACGCGTTTGACCGGGATGTTAGCTGTCAAATTTGCAGATTGCGCCCGTCCAAATTAGCCGCAAAAAAAAATTCTCAGCGCACACGCCTGGACAATTTATAACTCAGTTCGTTTGAAGACACTCCTTCACGCTTTCCGATCACGAATTTTCATCGAACGCGAGAATCCCCTGCTTTCTCCGTTAGCGCCATTTAACGTTTCATTAATCGCTTTTGGTTTATTATTTATGTGCATTCGTTTTACGTGTTACTAACCTCGTTTTTTTCATTCACACGTTATCGATAAAGTAACGATTTATTTAATATTCGTCTCCATTCGATAAGCAACTTACAATTTATACGATATAACGACGAGGAAGCAATTTTTATGCGCAGTTTGACATATTCTTGAATTTTAACGTTCATAAACAAAGATTAAAGATTTGTTTAGTTATTTCTCTATAAATAGCGAATAATGCTTTTCTGTTATTTTAACATCGTCGCTTCAATGCCCCTAAGACTGAATTTTCTCTTATAGAATTTGAGCGAGAATTTCTGGCGCGATCTGTGCGCTTCGATCTCTTGATATATATTCATAATAAATTTCTTTACAAGGGACATAAAAATTCCTGAAGCAATATACTTTGACTCTACGACATTCATAACAAAGCATTTGCTCAATAATGTCATAATGTCGAAAGTCGACTTTTAAAGTGTCTGCCAGCGATGATCTCGTAAAGTTGCTCGTGCGTATAATGCATCCAACAAATGATCATTGCTCAATGATTCAGAACCGCAAAATGGTCTTTGCTTTGCTATTTATCGGCATTTACAACTGCATCACGTGTTTAGGTTTTATAGACATATTTATTTTCGGTGTAAAAAATCTCCTTTAGAACGGCAGGTTATCGATTTAAACAAAATCGATTCCGTTGATTTCCGAAATAAGTTTGTATTATGGAAATGGCAGTTTTGCCGAAATATCTATATCTAGACATAGATCTGAAAATAATTTTGTTGGATCAAAATAAATAAATGTAAATGCTTATCAGAGCCAACACAAGTTGTTAAAATATGTGAAAATTTATTTATTACAGTATCTTAACAAATTGTGTTAACTCTAATAGGTATCATACATTTATTGATTCATTCTAATATGATAATCTAATAATTTGCGAATCAAAATAATTATGTAAGACTTTTAAATTGATTACTAAAAAGACTTTTTGTAACATTGCTCATCATGCTTGGTATTTCTACGTACCTGTTTTGATGGTTCAACAAAATTATTTTCAGATCTATATCTAACTTTTAGATATTTTATTGTTTTCCCGAGTGAAATTGTTTTTCCACATAGAACTTGCTTGAATGTTTACATCAATGTGTGATATAGCAAAAAAATAATATTACGAGTCGTATTTGAGAATATCTTCTCCCATAATCAAAATATTTTTCAAAAAATACTTCGACCGTTACATTTAAGTCTTGGATTTTTATTAGATAATAAAAATTCCTATGTTTTTTTTACAGTTAATTGTCAAGAAATATTTCACGTGGTGCGCTTAACGTAACTAAAACACCATCAGTACGAATTTGGTACGGCTACCATCTACCTTAGCGTAGCTTTCTAATCACACGAAACCTGCCTATGCCACTTGTCTACTGGTCCGCATAATACAAAGCTCCCTCAAATTTGAGGAACTCCAAACGACACACTTAATTGCGTGCATTTATCACAAAATGTTTGCTCCACTTGTATAGGCCTCCTACGACGTATTTCTAGGTCTGTGCGACGCATGCTCTACTGATTGTAAAAGGCGACATTACATGCTGTCTTCACGCTAATATCAATCGAGGATCACAGAAAAAGAAAAGAAAAAAAATAAAGAAACGCAACATGGTCGGAGGAGAAAAACCTCGTCGGCTGAATACTCTTCTACAGCTCCCCTAAACGACCTTCTGTCGCAGGAAAAGTTACAACGAGATTTTCATGGAAGGGAGGATATATGTATATATATATATATATATTTTTTTTTTTAGCAAAAAGTGGATTGGGAAACACGTTTAACTAAGTAGTCGTCGACAATCGGTGAGCACTTCAATCTTGCGAACAAACGAAAACGTGAAAAGAACAAAGAGAGAACAGACTGAATAAAACAGAAGAAGAAAAAGAGGGATGTGTATAGATAAAACAGACGGAGAAGACGAGAGAAGAACAGGCGGACCCTTAATTCCTACCTCCAGGGCGGGCGCTTTAGCCTGAAACACAAACGGCAAACCTGAAAAGAAATTCCGGAAGGATACCGGGCGGCGGAAACTCGAGCTCGAGTTTTTACACGAAGGAATTAAGTCCTCGTTTTAAGCGAATTAATTCCCCCCTTTCCCGATGCAAACGCAAAAGTCTGTACAATCGACGTTAATGTAATCTACCATCCACTTTTTCTTTCATTGGTCCCCCCACGATTACATGTCGTCAATTAATAATCATCCCTTTAAACAGCTATAAAAGATGACAGGAGAAAAATTAATATAAAGAAGAAGAAACGGGAACAAAGATGATGCAAAGGTGGAAGGAATAGTGTATGAGGAAGAAGTATTTAGGCAACAAGATGCAACAAGATGCCGCGCAATCGAGAGGTAGCAGAGGACTCTCGTATAAACTCGCATAAAGTGAATTTTATTTTGAGATCGCCCTACAAAAAAATCACAAATTAATCCGATAGTAAATTATACATAATGCAATGCTCGAAACGTTTAATATTAAAAAGTAATATTAAAAAGCTTTTTTAAAATCGATTGCCTTCTTTTTCTTTCCTGTTAAAGGTTTCATTTGGAAAGATTGTTTTTATTGATACGTTAAAAAAGTAATTGCATATTACTAAAAATATGTAGCAGAAATTACTTTTTATATTGCATTTTTGGTTGAACAAATTTTAAATTTGATTTTACCGAAATATTTTGGTTTTATTAATTCATGGAATATTTCTTTAATTTTCGATGTATTTTTCACTAAACTAAATTTCTTATAAAAAACGATTTCTCAGTAATGCGATTCGAGCCGAAAGAAATGAAGTGTTCGCCGTCGACAATCGTTTGTTATAGTTTGTTATAGTTGTAAATATTATTCGACATTGTTTTTCGACAAAAAGTTAATTTTCAAAGGGAAAGTCAATACATTGAATGTAAAATCCATTCACGCGGGAATGGTGTCAGAGAGACGGCATCATCGGAGCAAAAATAATCATCTGGATAGTTAACAGTGCTCGCGCTGTTTTCGATTAATCGTGCCGTCGGATGCATCGGGATTTTTATTGAATGAGAGAGAGAGAGAGAGAGAGAGAGAGAGAGAGAGAGAAAGGAAGAGAGAACGAAACAGATAGGCGAAAAATGAGATACAATGAGAATGGCGAATGGTCGGGACAATGTAGAACGCGAGATAGGGATGGTGTAATTGTTATCGGTTTCTCTCTTTTGGCGTTCTCTCGTGTGTGCAAGCCTGGCAAAATGTGTGTCAACTAACGTCAGCTGTTGCTTGAGGCCATTCCAGCTAAACGGGTCCACCAAGAGATTACGGACTTTAGTCAAAATCTCTGCGCTCATTTGTCTCGTCTTACAGATACTGCGCTGCATTCCGCTTCCGGTGCACGTGCGAATAAGCGTTTTCCGTTTGCGCTTTCACGTTTATCGTCGAGAACATTTCGGGCTTGCACAAAGCGGTTGATATCGCGACGTTTGTGATATTACGAGCTTCTTATGAATACGACAATCTTACGAATACTATACGATTATTGATACGATTATGTTTATTTTATCATCAAGTTCAATTTTGCTTGTGATAACAATTATTTCTAGTCAATTTATTTTCAGAAAATAGAGATATAATTTTAATACGTAATGAAAAATTAATTTTTGAAAATAAATTTCAGGAAAGAAATAATCGCTGTTAAATCTATGGTATCAAATTTTATCTAAGTCGCCACTGTTCAAACAATAGATAAATTTGGCACTATATATTGTCGAATTTATCCATTGTTTTCATTAAAAATAACGATATATTGAGTAGGAGTAGTGGCAACTTAAATTAAGTTGACACTATAGATTTAATAGTAATAAACCTGCTTTTTTTTTTTATTAATTACGCGAGTAATTTTATTTCAATAATATATTTATGTTTAATTATTTAGGTATTTAGAATTAGACAATTCGCTGACGAAGCTTATGTTCTAAATAATTGTCTGTAGAAAGAAATTCATGAAAGAAATTTATCAAAGTTTTATCAAATCATGCATGGTTGCTACACCACTACAAGCTCGCGTCCAATCGCTTTGTTTGTATCGATTCCGTCGGCGATAATCTTCCGATTGCCCGATTAATTATGTCCGTTCTATGTCTTAGCGCAACATAATGAAAACGTGTCAACGCTCGCGAGGCTTTGTTTTTCCGATTAATAGCCGATTATCAGACGGCGATCGCGGCGTGATTGATTATCGCACCGTTTCCATTTAACCACACGCGTTCTTCGATTTAATTAAAAACTCATTCGAGTACCTCGTGTCTCGGTAGCCGCAGCTCGCTCTGCGGTCGCGTGCACCGGAAGCGAGAGATAATTGTTCGCGAGAATTAGTAGAAATCGAGAAATGTCTCACCTGCAACCTGTAGTTGGGATCCTGCGTCGCTGCATGAGCCGCGAGGAAAGGGTCGTAGTAAACGCTGCAAAAAATAAAAACCACCAATGAGTTATGAACGGTTTATCCGCTTGTCCGCCACTGCATCCGTGGGGAGATTACTGAATTTCTGACTTTACGATTTTCTCTGTAAAGTGTAATTAACGTTACAATTCCCGCCATCAATTATTTTTATTTAAAAAGATTAAATATCTTTCGTTTGTATACAAATATTCCCTTTAAAAAAAAAAATAACGTATTTTGCAAATTCGACATTTGCCCATATTTTTCACGCTAAATATTTAGAAAGACTTTAATATTGAATACAATAGGGACATTCGGTTAAAAGCTGTCACTTAAAAAAAAAAAAAAAAAAAAAAAACCTTTAATCTTCCGATTCAATAATGTACAACGCACGTTTAATAGACGTCACATATTAAACATTGCGTTCGTTCGAGAATAAAATTGAAAATTTATTTCTGGAATACGATAATCCGCGCTTTATAGGATAATGGAGGACGACAGAGGCGATAAACTTTGTCCTCCCCCGACTATGCGAACGAAGTTTGTTTTATGCGCGAAGATCATAAATTATGCCGAGGAAAAGGTTGATTGCTTTATATTGCATCCGCACAGTAGCATTCGCAATGGAATTAGTTTTACAAGTAGCTCGCTTCTATTATCTCCGTTGGGAAAGATCGTTGTTAAAAGTCTATTTAACTTGAGTAAGTAATAATCTTGTTTTAAAAAGGCATGGAGAAAAAAAATTTGTCGACTTTATGGAATGCGAATTCGCGGTTCGTTTTGACTGTACCCTGTCAGGAATGAAGAAAGTTACGAAAGCACTATTACAGCACACATACGCATTTCGTAAAGTGCGAGCGTAATTTCAGGAGTAAATTCAACATACCGGTAATGATAAAAAAGTGCGCACAAACATTCGTCCTGTTCAACTTTGTTTAAGATTCTTTAATATTGCCTTCAGAGTCATGAAAAAATAAGTAATAAAAAAATGATTATTATTTGAAATATGTATATCTGGCAAATGTTTATCAGAATAAAACTGTGCGTTACATATCTCTTGCCTTGTCAATATTGAATTCAGTAAAAATATACAAATATACTTGTACGTACATTTCCTGTGTAATAAATTTTCGTTAAGTGTAATCATTTATCGACAACATTTTGCATCCCTATATATTATCATTGCAAATATAAATTATCATCGAATTGCGTGTGTCGGAAACTATCGATTGCTTTTATAAAAAAAATAAATTTCCCAAAACGTCATAAAAGTATTTACAAATAGACAATATAAGATATTTGAGGTCAGAACAACAAATACAAGATCCAATATATGCCAAAATTTACTGAAACTCAAAGAAACTATCGGAACTCGAAAACAAATCAGATAGAATAAATATATTTGTGTTTGAGCTATTTCTATCAACCGTTTTCTCTCTGTAAACAAAATTCATTCCTGAAATTATACGAACGTTTTACGAAGTATAACTTTATATTGATTTTGAAAAAAAAAAAGATTTGTTTCTGCCTGGTGTGACGTTGCACAAATTCGAGATAAAATATAAGTCATTTTCTTCTCTATAATCTGCTTCAGGTTATAAATTAAACAACACGGTCTTTACATTAAAATTCATAACGAATGTATATATATACATACATATATACATATATATGTATATACATACACACAATATATATAGATATTGGACTTGACAAATCCGATTTCGCGGCCGGGGTGTGCATCGATGTAACAGGCTCCGAAGATTGATTTTCGTCCGTATTCAAATTTTTCATTCCTGCCAACGCCATGTCCAATTTCATAACGTTAAAATGAACGAACGATTGACGTTCGACGCGAATGCTTGCTCCTAAAAATTCGGAATGATAAAAAGTTAAAAAAAAAAAAAAAAAGATAAAGTGTCTACATTCTACAACGATTTTTAATCTTCGACAAAAAAATGCGCGCGATCATCGCGACATGACCGACAAAACGCGATGATCCAACAGTCGCGTTTTAATCTTCTAATCAGTCAAAGAGCAGTTGGATGAAATGAAATTTTTTTTTTTTTTCCGGGTACCACCTCTTTGATCATCCTCGGCAGAGAAGCAATGGAGCGTCCTCCGTTTTTCCGCTTGTTCAAAGTCTCCATTTAGCGAAAAACGAGCGAGTCGCGGACGCTCTTTCGCAAATTATAATCCGCATTGTGCGCGGAAGGGGCGTTTGTAGGAAATAGGTTTTGGGAAGGTGGACATGCAGTGTGCAAACGCATGTGAGATTGACAGGCAAAGCCTTAACGAGCGGCGCGTGCAAACTCATTGCAGCGAGTAATTCCCCCCAATTATTTTCGATATTACTCGATGATCTTCGACGCATGATGAAGTGATGGAGTGTATATACTCAACGATACTCCCACATTCAGTCGCAATATAGTTTAAATGATCGTCATCGAGCTGCGAGTTAAAGTTGTTTACACCAACAGTCATTGATATTTGCAGAAAATTAAATTTTCGGTACGTGGCTAAAATTTGGAAAAACAATTATAAAGAGAATGTGATCGCCGATTATCGAAAATGTAATTTGTACTTAAGAAAAAGTGAAAAGAAGGACCCTCCAATCAGATTAGATCTAAATAAAAAGTTTATTTATCGTAAATACTATTAAAGATAAATAACATAATTAGTTCGAGAACGCGATTTAACGTTTGAATTCGCGGAGTTAAACTTTATTGCATGGGAGAACTAGTGGCATATAAATCACGCTAACTACGTAAGTACCGATCGTTAAGAAGAAAAAGACCATCGCGAAAAAGTCCTTCGAAACTTTAATGATGCACGCACCTCTTCCACACCCTGGCTACGTAAATTAATTATCGTCGTTATACCATACGTCTATTTTGATCGTTCAATGAACCTTCGCGAAAGTTTCGTAACAGGAAAGTATTTTCGAGGTGCGCTCTTGATTACTCGCTGCAAGAAAAAATTCACCAAGAAGGAAAAAGGATACGTACAAAAAATATCAAACAAGCTGCAGAATATAGATATTTTTTAAAATGATTAGTCGAGATCATACAGAAGTGCTCCTGTAGAGATATATATTTTGTTAATGGTTTATCGGTGTTTTATTGAAAATGCATGGAAACAGTGCAGTGACAACTCGAATTATCACATTGCATGAAAAGAACGGTTTTGCTAGAATATCTAAAAATTTAGCTAGATACAGAACTGAAGATATAATTTCGTTCGGACTATCAAAATAATTATGTAGAACGCTCTTAAAATAGTTATTAGAATGTCAAAACTTCTCGCAGTATCGTCATCAACGCTTAAACGTTCTACATACACAATTATTTTGATAATCCAATAAAATTATTTCCATATCTATTTAAATTTTTAGAACTTCGACAAAATCATTCTTTCCGATATCTCCCATCAATTCGTGATTGTCTTAATTCTTTTGCCAAGGCATAATTTTTCACCTTTTCACTATCGTGTTTCACAAGATTTCCGCAAAAAAAATATAAGTGAGAATAAAGTAAAGACAAAATTGTCCTTTGTTGAACCCTGAAGAGGTTCTTAAAACGTCATAATAAAATTTGCACGAAAAAGTAAATTTTTATTGTTTAAAAAATGATGTATAGGTACCCATCATGTATTCATGCCTTGACAGAAGGGTTGAATTATCGCAAAGTGATGTAATTAAATTTAATTAAAAACGCCGATTAGAATGCCACTTAACAGAGTACAGGAATACCTCCATCCGGTTAGACGTCGGTTAGACGCAACCTGACCTGGACCGATACTTACGCGGGTGCGAAGGGATGTAGGGCCGTAGCCGCAGCTGCAGCTGCAAGTTGCCCCGGATTCCTGGCCAGTGCCAAGGCAGCCGCGCTGGTTGGGAAAGTCGCCCTCGCTGCTCCTACTCGGCCACGTTGTATGGCAACTCCTCTAAGTGCCGCAGCTGTAACAACACACACGCGACACGCGCGCACATGCACAATTACACAAGATTGCCTACCTTGAAGACTTATGTTGTTATCGAACACTCCGTGGGACTCCAGGTTGCCTCCTCGAGGAACCGCGGCGCACATCGACAGCCGGCGAGACGAGGTTTGCAACTTGATTTTATATCCGGTTACGAGACTTAGGAATGATATGCCTGGGAATTGACTCATCGGACATTTCACTGTCGCGAGGGAATTTGTGGAATAATAATTTCTTGAATATCAAGAAAGTTTTTATTCGCCGATCGATTAGCATATTCGAGAAACTCGAACAAGCACACAATATTAATGTGAGATAGTATTCTCTTTTTTTTTCATTTGTGGGATATCGCATCCTCATTATGTTAAATTTTAATAACAAATTTTTGGTGAAACTCTAATTAATTTTTCCCTTCAGAAATTGAAAAAAATAAAAAAAAGTCACTTTTATATAATTCAAATATTTATAATTCGTATTAATTTAGAAATTACTACGTAAATCTCACTTTTTAAATAATTAAATTAATCGCTTAATTAATTATATTAATAATTTAAAACATTTTTACAATATGTAATAAATTGTATAAAATTGAAGTTCTTTAAACTTCTATTATTAAATAAATTCAAAATTAGCCAATATTAATGAAAATTTAATAATGAGGTGCGTATATAATAAAAGAAAGGAATGGGCAAACTGGCTGTAGTTGGAATAAAAGATCCTTCTTGTTAAAGCTTATAGCACAATGTAAAAAACAAGCACGATTCACCAACAAACGTATCTGACCCTGCCAGCGCAGAGAAAGCTTTCGATCTAAGAGAAGCTGCGGCACGAGCAGGAAATTTTGTTCTTCCTATCAAAGATTGGCTTTAGAGAATCGCCCCCAAGAAGTAAATACGAACATCAGAAAACACCGGAGAATCTCGCGGCGTAAGAAAAGAAAGGATGTGGCAGAGCGCAGAGAACTTCAGAAAATCGAAAATAGGAAAGTTCGCTACCTCTACTCCGCTTGTATTTGACATTCAGGAATAGCTTGGAAGGAAAGAAACGACTACGAAACTTCGCGAAACGAAATTCATCTAGAAGAAATGGCTGCTTTACGAGTAGATAGATTTTCGGTGCGTTTTATCGTTATTTGCGATCTACTCGCAAAGGGTCGCAACAATTTCCTTCAACAGATAACGTAAATAGAAGGACGATTTCCGCGAGTGGCAAAATTCACACGCCTTGAAGTGAAGCTTGCGTGATCGGTGTGAAATCCTCGAAGCTTCGACGAAGAATAGTGTCAGAGAAGCTAGGTAATCTGGCAGACTTCGATGACAATTGAGATTTCGCGAATTTATCAAAATTAAACAAGAAAGAGAAAAGAAAAAGAACTCTCGAAGATTGCAACGCCAAATGTAAAGGCAGCAGCCCTAAATCAATATTATTGATATATGGAAGCTATATTGAAAAGCCTCCGACTCAGGATTGCAACAAATTTCTCATCCTAAAAATCCTTTCCCCGATTTCCAAATAAAATTTCACAATTTTTCCTGAATCTTTCAGTAATATTTTAATATAATAATAAATTTTATTCAAAGAATAACAGCAACATTAATTACTATTAATGCTGCTGATAGTGCTTGCATTTAATTATTAATTGATAGTTTTGATTCCAAAACTGTGTAGATATAATGTATGCATATTAAATTTGTTTGAAGCCAAGAATTTTAACGCTCCTAAAAATTTTGAAAATTCCTTGAGTCTTCCTTCATTTTCCTGACTGTTTTCAATTTCCTTAACATTTTCCTAATTTCTACTTTTGTGATAATCTGCGACTGTTTGTTTCGAATTGTTTAAAGGGAGGGATTAGTAATATTGTACAAATTAATTATACAATAATATTGAGCGTCGTGGGGCAGCTTAAGATATTCTATGAAGTTGATGAGCTTGTCTTTTTCATTTGGTCTCTACAGAGGTTTTCGAAGGGAATTTTTCCGATGGAGTTGAATAGACGGCGACATGGATGTCACGACTCGATCCGTTCACATTGTGTAGCAGCTGCCGGTTGCATGATCGACGCCAGCTTTCGTAAGGGGAAGAAAGACCGCGGATACGCGCAGTTCCGGAAGCTGACGATGCACAACGGTGGCTGCAGGGCTTTCTCGCTCGGTGATGCATTTCAGATTCGTGGCAGTAAGCTTTCGCTCGGTAAATTTCAATGAGATTGTGGAATATTAACCAATCCTTATATTTCGAAGAGATGGAAAATAATCGAGACTCTATTATCAGCAATCTCGTAGATAGCAAAACGGCGAAGAATTGCACTCGGAAGACGATAAAAAAAAAAAAACGAATAAAATAATGCTCCTTGATTTGAGAGATACTTATAGAATAAAAATATTACTTCTCCAGATAATAAAAAATTATTCTTAAAATTGCAGAGATATAAAAAGGTCAAAGATGTTACAACTAAATCATTAGACCCAACTATCTATATTATTAGATAAAAATATCAATCTGCCAGAAAATAGATAATTTATCTATGATAAATTATACTTCTGAGATATTTCTTAATTTACGTTTTGAGCATTAATAGATGATGTAATTAATAAATGAGGGATCATATGAATAATCCTGATGGATGGATAGTGACTTTAATGAATTGCCGTTGTATTGACGGCAACGACAAACGACGTTGAGTTATCGACATATCTGACAAGAAAAAAAAGTTGGAAAAACAAACTCGGCGCGATGAGAAGAATCCTTTTTATCTCCGGCTGGTCCAAGATGGAGCAATAAAATCTAACGATTTCTGCCTACCTTTTCATCGGCACCAAGCCATCTCGTTCGGATCAGCTGCTGATGGAGCGATTTAACAAGTGCTTTCTCATTTATATACATGGTTCACCTCGAAAAATTCACCTTGAAGAGAATAAAGTTTGTTAAAGAAATGAATCCTTTGATTTCTTAAAAAGAAAATAAATAAATGATATAAAAATTTTTGTATTGCAATCTACTTATATTTATACGTTACTGATTGTACAATATATATATACATATATTTAAAATAAAATCCATGTTACTGAACAACGAAATTTTTCATTTAGAAAATTTAATCGTGAGTTGTAAATAAAATGCCGTTACATAAATTTATTTCTTCAACATTTAAAAAAAAAAATACAACGATCGTGAAAACACATCTCTTCAAAGTTCTGATAATCAAAATTACATCGAAAGAGTATAACAAACATATGCACTGTTGTTAGACTAGTAGGTTGAATTACATGAGCAGCACATCAACAGCATCCTCAACAGACAACTACCTACTGTGCAGGTAACGCGCGTGATGTTAGCGCAAATCAAAATGTAAGTTAACGATCAACGACGAGGGGTTGGTTAATAGGTCGGCTTGATCGCCGGTTATCTAAAGGCGGGTCAAGAACAAGAGCGTGATGCATAAAATAGCAGGCGCATTCCAAAAAAGAGGAAGGTGGTTTGTGTGTAAGGGGCCGATGTTTACAACTGCATGAACTCCATTTTCCTACAGGCTCGCGTGATCTGTGGCACAGAAGTGTAATTACTAACATTGCCGGCGTATAAATATGTACATTCTCTATGGATTTTAGTCGTACTTTCAATTATTAAAACACAATCTTTAGTTCACGTCTACAAAATAATATTCTGCAAATTTTTCTATTTAAAAGAAATATTTTTATTTTATTTTATTGTAAATGACACTTTTTTGATAGTTTGTTACGTCAATTCTTCCGTGTCGACTTTCTGAAAATATCGATATAGTGCATTGCTGTCATTTTCTCCTAGTTCATACGATATAACAGTTTATCGCAATCCGTTTTCGAAATTCATGTTTCACTCTACATCAAAGTAAGCGAGGGACATATTTTTGGGGGGAAAAAAAAAAAAAAAAAAAAATTCGTACACACGACACTGACATTTCGAGAATGCAACACGCGCGACGACCGACCATTCGATTCATTCCGGATATGAATTTAAAAGCCAACCATGCTGAACGCGATTGCTGTCTTCGGCCAAATTTTACGAGTGCGGGTGACACGCCAATTAGCGGCTATTAATTAATCGACTGTGCACGCTGTGGCAGATCGTCCGACACGCCGCGCCACGCCGGTCCGGAGAAAATCGAAATTTATGGAAATATGCGGTCCGGCGATAATACGATCCGACGAAGAGTAGAGAGATTACATTCGCGAACAATGAAAAAGTTAAATGCGCTGTCGCCATCCTTTAATTGGCCTGCTTGTCCCTTATTCAAAATTGTTACGTTACGTTAGCGCCATCAATAATTTTTGCGATAACGAAAGTTTCCCGTTGAACCGCACGTTGTAAATTCTGTGCAAACAAATGGACTTTTCGTCGGTACGCAAATTTAATTGAAAACCAATGAGCTTACGAATTAAATATTAACCCATCAGTTGCCGCGAAGTAAAACGTTTCCATCTCGTATGTATTTCGATTCATTTGCATTTGCGCGCGTGATCATAAATATGTAAAAGCAAATTGTTACACGACATAAATAAATTTTTCACGGCTCGATAGAAATTGCCTAATTTTTTTTAAATGCATTATTGCGACCTTCTTAAAAGCAACTTTAATTATTATACAAATGTTTTATTATAATTACCTAATTGTGTTACAATTTAATTATTAAAAACATGATTTAATTTAATTATTATATTCTTATAATTTTAACTTTCTTTTACATTAACATTATTGCAATAATCATATCAAAAACTAATAATTTGTTGTCGATTTTATCACATATTAAATTCGCTTTAAAATGTAGTTGTAAGAAATGTTAGTGGAAAATCCATGCGATTATTTCCGGCCACAGATCGACCGCCGCCGAGAGCTCCCTAAACATCCGATCGAGTTTGACTAATTAGGCGGAAAACATCGATATATAATGCGTGCCCTGAAGAAAGAAACGATATACATATATTATATATACACATGTAT